TTACCCCTTTAAGTGTTGTAACAAATACGTAAGGTCACATCTGACAGCAGATAGCCTAAGTGGCAGAAGAGTGTTCTTAGCAGTGCCCTGTCCACTGTTCTCATCAGGACAGGACACTCCTAAGAACATGCAGACCAAGCTGTCCATCAGCTCCTTATGTGTAGGGGGCCTAGATCCAGTCCATGCTAGATCTTTGGTTGGTGGTTCAGTCTCTATAAGCCCCCATGGGCCTAGGATAGTTGACTCTGCTGGTCTTCTTGTGGAGTTCTCTTTGGGTCCCTCTGTCCTTCCCCCAACTCTCCAACAAGATTCCCAGATCTCTGTCTAATGTTTGGCTGTGGGTCTGAGCATCTTTTTTGACCTGTCACTGGGTGAGCTTTTTCAGAGGACAGTTACCTTGGCTCACATCTGCAAGCACAGCAGTGTATCATTGTGACAGGGCTTTGCTCTCTCCCATGGAGTGGGTCTCAAGTTGGGCCAGGCATTGGTTGGCCGTTTCCTCAAACTCTGAGACATCTTTATGCCTGCCATTCTTGTTGGCAGGCGAAGTTTTGGGTCAAAAGTTTTGTGGGTGGGTTGGTGTCCCCCTCCCTCCATTGGAAGTCCTGCCTGGAAATAGGGGATGACCTCTTCAGTCTCTGTATCTCCCACTGCTGAGAGTCTCGGCTAGAGTCACCCCATATCCTCCCAGGAGCCTACTCTGATGCAGGTCTCCAACTTGTCCCAGCAGACCTTACCCATCAGCTTCCCATCTCTCTCCTAGCCCTACTGCCTCCCATCCCTGCTTTCCCACATCTGGTCCCCACCCTCACTCCCTCAAGACCCAACCATACCACTACAGGCAGATACCTGAAAGATGTTCCACCATACTGCAAGGACCTTTGTTCAACTCTGTTCATAGCAGCTTTATTCATAATAGTCAGAAATTAGAAACAACCCAGATGTCCCTCAGCTGAAGAACGGAAAAAGAAACTGTGGTACATTTACACAATGGAATACTACTCAGCAATTAAAAACAAGGAAATCATGAAATTTGCAGGAAAATGGATGGAACTTGAAAATATCCTGAGTGAAGTAACCCAGACCCAGAAAGACACACATGGTATGTGCTCACTTGAAAGTAGATACTAGCCATATAATACAGGATAACCATACTACAATTTACAGACCCAAAGAAGATAAATAACAAGGCAGGCCCAAGTGAGAAGCTTGAATCTCACTCTGAAGGGGGAATAAAACAGCATTGGAAGGAGATGAAGAGATAAACTGGGTAGGAGAGGGGATAAGTAGGGGAACTAGGGTGGAGAACAGGCTCAATATTTATTTACTTGTGTGTATATGAGTGCTCTACCTGCATGTACACCTGCATGCCAGAAGAAGGCATCAGATTACATGATAGATGGTTGTGACACTCCATGTGGTTGCTGGGAATTGACCTCTGGAAGAGCAGCCAGTGCTCTTAGCCACTGAGCCATCTCTGCAGCACCCCACAAGTACTTCTTAAATTCTTCCATTTCCATAACTAACAGAATGTGTCCTAACTAAACAGGGATACTGGCATCTAACCCAGTACTGGGCACACAGTAAAGGACCCAATATTTGGAAGTAAGCAAATGGAAAGAATTTTTCAAATCATAGTAACCTCTGCCTGCCTTCCTGAACATGAGCCTTTTCTTGCTTTGGAAGATTTTTCTTGAAGACTTTCTTTCCTGTACCTCTTATGTTACAGAAAAAAAATTCCAAAGCAGCACTTTCCAATTTCTTTTTTGTGTTGAACCTTGCTCTACAGCGTGACAGTGGTAAGGGTAGCGTATTATGTGCATTACACAACCAAATAATCTGCCAGGGTGCCCATTTTCAAATGGGGCCCTGTGAAACCGTTGTTCCTGGTGTAAGCCAAGTAAGAATCTTTGGACACATAAATGTTCTTTGCAATAGAATAAAAAGACTCTGCAAGTTACGTGTGCAGAATCCTGGTACCTACTTGTACAAAAGCACGCGCATAGGAAAAGAGAAGGATAGACTAGACCTGGAAGCAATAGTTTCTAGGGCAGGAAAGAGGAAGACTCAGGAAACCATCTCTTTCTTTATCCAAGCACTTGGCTCCTGCTCTTTACACTACAGGGGCTTATAGTAAATAAACTGCAGCCTCTCAAAAAGCAACATGCCGATACTGGCTGAGCTACACTGTCTCTCGGCATCACAGTGGGATGTGCTCCGCTTATCACCCTGTAGTCAGAGGAAGCATTAGAAAAGTAGCAGGGCGCTCTATGAGTAGGTAAGTCAATATATTAATTTTTTCCACAATGCTAACTACAGGAGACCCCTCAGGTTTTCCAAGTATGAGAGCTCAACTCCTCAAACATTGAATAAATCCCCAAGGTTATTGAGCTATTTGTTTAATTGCTGGAGCAGAATTAAAATATAGATCCTTCTGATTCCCCTTATTTCTTTTTCTTTAATTAAATGTGTCTTGTCCCACGAATGTAAATGATAATTAGCTGGGTACCTTACAAAGCCACTTGAAGACCGAGAAAGTTTCCTCAGGGTGTGTGTGCATGTGTGTGTGGGGAGGGGGGTGCTATATCAATACATAGGCTTGAGTGCAATATCACCTGCCGCCGCCGCCTTGTATTTTATGAGATAAATGGGTGGATGGGAAGACACAGAGGCAGCTTATGTAGCCCCAGCTCCTGCATCTGCCATACCTTCCCTTTGGCCCAGCACTGAAACGCTGGAGCTGCTAGCCCCTAAGATAGGAGCGTGGCCTCGTCGTCCACCTTTCTGGCAGTCTCGCAGTCAGCTGCCCAGGCTCCCCTACCCCACCCCATGCACATTCCTGATGCCGCCAGGCGTGTTTCCCCCAGTTTCCAACCATACAACCAGACAGAGGTTGTATGGTTAGAATATGAAAGTTCAGAACTTTTTAAACTCCTAATTGTGCTCTGTGAAACTCAACTATACTCCCCACTTACGTGATTTTATTACATAAGGTAGAAGACCTTTGAACGATAAATGCAAAAACTTCTCCTCAAGGATGTGTATCATGTCTCAGAAACCCGGAAGAATTAACTGGAAAGCTGTTACAGTAATGCTCAGAAGTGCTTTTAAAAGAACGCCATACAATTTTATTATGCTAATGACCTACTGTGTAAAAACAGGGCTAAACAAAGTGCCTGGGCCCCGTGTCTGCTCCAGCCTAACTCTGCCACTAAGCTACACTCCCAGCCCTCCAGATGACGTGGCCTGCTGCAGAATACCTTAGGAGAGACATGTCCTTCTAGCGACTGCAGACTTGTACAGGAGCTATACCCCTGTGTAAGGACAGGTGACCTAGTGGGAATGATTTCCACGTGCTGCATACTATAGACCAGCATATGTGTGCTGATGCCAAAGAAGCTGAAATAAATTCTTGTCAAAATATTTGTGGACTTGATTGAAGCTGTTAGAATGTGTAAAAAGAAACACACACACATACACACACACACATACACACACACACAGGAGAGCGACCACACGGTTCTCAGTTTTTAAGCCTCTTCTGTTGATATGAGTGACAGTCATAATCTTTTATTCAGGCAGCTTACACGTTTAGCTTGATGTGTTATTAGCTTTGTAAACACAAATCTTGTGTTTTGAGTTGCTGTCTATCAGATTGTTAGAGAAATGTATTTTCCTAGAATCACTTAAGGTTTCCCAAAATAACACTTTCAAGTTTGCTAGTCAATCAACTTAAGCTAGACTTGGTTGAGCTGGTCTCCTTCTGGTAGAAAGCTCCAGTTCTTCAATGATGAGTGTTCTGTTCCCTTTTTTCCTTCCTTTAAGTATCATGTATGTTAATATCTTGGGTCTTATCGCTTGTAATCCTTAAAGAAGTGCTAATTCTATGTCTGGAAACTCATATTGCAAATGTCTGACAACAACTTTCTGTCAAAAGTGTAAGTGTTCACACCAAAAAGATGCTAACTATGTATAGCAAAGCATTTGCTAATTAACTGGACTTAGCTATCCCTAAATGTATGTATACTGCAAATAGTATGTACGTGGTAAAAGCGTGCAATTCTGTCAGTTTCAAACAGATTTTCAAGACATCTTTAATTATTTCAAAGATTTTCTTCTTAATTGCGTGAGTGTGTGTGTGTGCACCTGTATGGGCATGTGAGCACATGAGTACAGTTACTTACGAGGCCACAAGAGGATATCAGACCCCCTGGACTTGGAGTTACAGGCAATTGTGAGCCACACATGTGGGTGCTGGGAACTGAGCTCACATCTTCTTCAAGAGCAGAGATTAATTGCCAAGCATTTTCTCCAGCCCTAAACAAAAGCCTGTTAAGTTAAAATAAATAAGAGCAAAACAAAACAACAAAAACATAGGAGCAAGGGGCCTTTCTAGGCTGTTAAACAGTAAATGCTGCTGCCCTCTGGTCTGGTGTCTGTGCACAAAGTGTCTTTTGCTCTTGATGCTGGTAAGCACTGGCCCACCTCAGCACGCAGCATCTTTGAAATTCTGTGCGATGCATGAAGGATTCCCTAAGTCCACACCTATCCTCTTAGTTCTGCAAAAATGCCCTCTAAAAACACAGCTTATCATATGAGATTCTTTGGTGAAAATAACCTTTCAAATCTCAACAACCATTCAGCTGAGCTGAGACAATTTATTATGTTCCTGGGCTGAGAAGTTCTAACATTTAGGACACTATACTTGAGGAAAGGGGAAAGTCTGTCTGCTCATCTTCTGGAACAAGTTTTCCATGTTGTCTCCAGGACCTATGTTTGTAGAGCCTGTGAAGATGAGTGGAACATGATTTCCCCTGCTCTGGAAAATGAGATGATGAGGAGCAGTTAGTCTGAACAGGGAGTGGGGAGAGCGAGCATGCAGGCCCCCTTCCCCTGGGAGGCAGTGAGACTCCCTTCTCTGCAGGTGCTTAATCATTACAACAACAGTGCTTTCTCTCTGTGTGCTGACAATTAAACCATCTCTTTCTTCTTTATCCAAGGATTTCTTGCTGCAGATTTTTACTGTGTTCCGAATATTGATACGCCCAGAAATGTTCCCCAAGGACTGGACTGTCATGCGCCTGGTTGCTAACAAGTAAGACTTTTCTGTGGATAATTGTGCTTCAACCTGCATGGGAAAAGGATGCTCTAGAATGTTCTTGGTAGCTTCATCACAGTTAAAACTTCCAGGTTCTAAGGGGTTTTTTTTCTTTATCAAATCAACTTTTTCAGTTGTTTTGAACAATATTACTAATTGTCTTAAATTGTTGTTTAATATGATTATATTAATGTCTTTTAAGAATCAAACAACATAGCCAGAAATCTTGATGCATACCTTTGATCCCAGCACTTTAGGTGATACAATCAGTGGAATCTCTGTGAGTTCGAGGCCAGCCTGGTTTGCAGAGTAAGTTTCAGGACAGCCAGGGCTGCACAGAGAAACCCCTGTCTCAAAAAGAAAGAAATAAGAAAACAACAAAAAACAGAAAAAACAACAACAAAAAGAATCAAGCAATATAACAGTGTGATGGCTATTACCTGTATCCTAAGCATTAAAGAGGGACATTAAAGAGCCGGGATTTGGGTGTGGTCAGATGTCAGGCTTCATTCTGTCCCTATAAAGTTTAAGGCTATGGACTGAGCTGCTCTCTCAGCTTCCTGTCTCCCTAGGCTCAGAAGATAATGAAGGTAAACTTTAGAACAAGGTCTTCCTCTTCACTTTCAAAACTGTCTTTTAGCTCGTTTCGTTAACATTCTCTTGCCATCCATCGTTTTTCAAATGCCAAATAGGCCAGGGTCACCGTCTGTCCCCGCAGCCCTGCAGGTGTGATGGTGGTAAGAGCTCCAGGAATGCAGCATTCAGTTTTGATGAGATATGCTTAAGATGGCTTCTGCTTCAGGGTGCGTTCGTAGACTCGGGGGTGTTAAAATGAAACTTGTGAAGTAACAAATAGTGTCTTGTGGCATATTATATTTTACATAAGCACTGAGCAGCTTCTCCACTCTGAAGACTAATTGAGACAGTGAAATCACCCTCTTTAGAATTCAGCATATGTGTTTTGATATCTGCGAAAGAGTCAAGCGGCTGCTTCTCCGGGTGTCTGCATGCTTGGAGCTCTTGCTGGTGCGTTTGCCCTAAATTACCAAAGACTCATGATAACTGAAAAGCTGGATGAAGTAGTGTGGGCAGCCGGGAAGAGGTCCGGGCTACCAGCAGCAGCGCAGAGTGCCCACTTCTGGCTGTTCTGCCTGCCCTGCGTGCAGAGCACCATTTGGCTTCAAGTAAAAGTTTCAGTGGCAGACCATCAAACTGAAAATCTAACATTTTCTTCCTTAGGTACACAGGCTGTGTGCCTGGGCTTGCCGGAAACCATGACAACAGCATGGTTGTGATACTTAATGACGTCTTTGTCCATTTTACCTCAAGACCCCTGCATTCAGAGGCTTTCACGGTCACATGAGTGGCTATCAGACTGCTGCTTTGATGTAAACACAGTTGTCAAGATTTTCATTGAATATTAACCAAGAAGGAACAATTTTGGTTAGAGATGAGATATGTATAGTATATTTAAAGTGGAGATTCCTCCCATAATAAACCCAAGCCCTTGCCAAACAGTGATTTCATATTGTCAGCCAGGCTAGTGTTGGTAGCCTGGCTGCATTTCTCTGTGGCAATGGCTGATGGCTGCACCCTCAGCCTCACTAACTAATGGACAGACTGCTTCTGTGTGCTCCCTTCTGCCTCAGCCTCTCCTCTGTGTCCCTCTCAGTCACAGCAGCTACTTTCATTTCAGCCAAGGAAACTCCATATGATATGTCTTACTTTATAAACAGAAATCAGTCCATAAATATACACTAGATTATTTTAACCTAAATAACATTGATATAAAAGTATGTTTCTGAGCTGGTAATGATGGTGCAAACCTGTAATCCTGTACTCAGGAAGCTAAAGGCAAAAAGATTATGAGTTTGTGGTCATCCTGGGCTACACAGAAAAACTCTGCTAGAAGGAAGGGAGGGGAAGAAGGAAGGAAGCAAGGGAGGATGGTTTCTGAAAGATGTTAATTTTGCTGAGAATATTTTAAAGTGTGTACACAGAAAGAAAGTGTTGGCTTTGCTAATGGTTATACTGGGCTCTCATGTCTTCAAAGCTCCCCATCTTCTTTTCTACACTGCTACCTTTCTTAGACACTTGATCAAGAAGAAGTATTACTACCAGTGAAGATAACATCAAAGGCCTTGTGGTGAGAGGTGGTGTGCCCTGTCAAGAAGAAGCAAGGAACTAGTTAGTTAGAAGGGGGAACACAGGACTCAACTATTGGTGGGTAGAGAGACAAAAGAGAAATCAGGAAGAATCAGAAGCTTGCTGCAGCCATCCAAGTGAGGTGGTGGCTGGGACAGGTAGGTAGTGTGAAGACTGACTTTGAAGATCAGGATGATGAGGTCTGCAGGTAACTAGATGTGAGTGGAAGAGAGGAGAGGTGATTGATGATGGTGGTTAGGTTTGGGGACTGAGCAAAAGGGCCAGTTGTGGTACCAGTCAGTTAAGTGGAAAATATGGAGAGGAGACACTCATAGAGTGAAAGGAAGGGAGAAGTCTGTGACACATGCAAGTGTCAGATGCTGTTAGTGTCCAGGTGTGACACTTGCCATTCTAGTACTCAGGATGCTGAAACAGAATAGTCTACTGCAGGATGAGCCTGAAGTACATAGTGAATCCTGAGGTTCAGAGCGAAACCCTGTAGGAAGCAAATAAGCAAGATGCTATTAGCTGTCCAAGCGTTGATGAAAAAAAGGAAGTGGGTGAATGGAAGGGAAGAAGTTAGGGTGAGAGCTGTCATTTTATGGCAGGGAAGCCATGGCTAGGATCTGAGCCCATGGAATGAGAGCTCCCAGGGAAAAAAAAGTGTATGCACTGAAAACACAAAATGCCTAGGATGAGGCTGGGGCATGCCGCTGTTCAGAGGGCAGGCAGTGAGCCAATGCAGAGAAGCCCCAGAGGCAAGGTGACAGCCAGGGGCCTGGTATGCTGAGAAGAAAACACTTGAAGGAAGAATAGCTGGAACTGTGGACCAGCAATTAACTCCTGGAGCCAGCGCTGCTGTCAGAGCCAGTAACCTTGACAAGTGCTGTTTCCCTGTAGTGGTGGAGATAAGAGCCAGGTGAGGGCGAATTCAACAGCGGGTCCTGGTGGAGGAACGAAAACAGTAATTACAGGCAGATCCTTTGAAGAGTTTTGCTATAAACAGGAACAACAAAAAAAAAAGGTATCTCTGGAAGGAGTTAGGGAGATGGGGATTTCTTTTCAGATGCACAGTAGTCTAGGATGAGGATGGACTGACAGGAATATGTAAGTATAAATACGTAAGTCTTGGTGATATTAAGAAAGATGGCCAATTAAAAGAACAGTGTCCGTGGGTTTGAAAGTTTCTGGGTCTGTGATACTGGGTGCGTTTTTTGCTGGCTGGACCAGTCCCAACCCCTCTATACCTGTCTACAACAACCTCACACTTGAACGTCAGCCCATCTTGGAAGTGTACCACTGAGCACAGTGCACACTGTCTTGTGTGAAGACAGCCCTAAAACGAAGGAAGCTGAGCACACTTAGAGCAGTGCTGACCGCAGCCAAGGAGAGCACTGGCAGCTTGTCCACAGGACAGCAGGCTCAGTAGCATCCACCGGCACCACTAATATTACTCTGTTTTTATCAAGTGTGGTTACCCTTAAAGTGTAGTTGATAAGAAGGAGGACTAAGACTCTGATTTCTCACCAAAACTGTATGTTACAATGTGTGCCAGATTTAAATAGTTACTGCAAATATTTATGCATGATCTGCTTGCACACTGCATATCTTGGTGAGTTGTGAGCAGTTTGTATGGAAACTAGGTACGTGAAGGAAGTGATTTATTAAGCTTTGGGTCAAGTAGGTTAAAACAGAGACATAAGCTCAAGACTGATGTTGTAGTTCATAAGGGGAGAGAACAGAGAACTCCTTGCTTCTCTTTGCCCCTCCCACTCTGTGTACTGCTTTGCTGAAGGCAGTGTCACTGCTCCTGGTTTCCTGATATGGGGTGGGGCCTCTGCTTCTGTCAGTTCTACTGGACTAACTTCAGTCTGATGTACACTTACCACACAGTGACAAGGCTGCCGTTGTTCATGGCAGGCTCAGTCTGCTACAAAGAAGACCAAATTCCCTACATACCACTGAACTCAAACTTGTCACCAACTCTGTCTTCAGTCTGGAATCCTTGAGGCACAAGAGGATGGTCAGATGAACCAGAATCACCTGTCTCGGCCACAGGACAATCCCACCAGGCCACAAGTAATGAATGGAGGCTGGTGTCTGTTTGTCCTTTGGGTCGGTCTCAGACTCTCTGAAGTTTCAGCACGCCCAGCTTAGATCTGTCAATTTTAATTTCCTTGTTGACTGTTGATGATTTCCTTCTTCCTTAAGCATCTTCCTCTTGGTTTATACTGTTCCCAGTTACTACTCTGAGTTAAAGGGAAGTTATATTTCAGGTTTGTTTTGTTAGTTTTTTAATGTATAAACATCAACATTAGCTGGAGCACACCTGCAGTCCCAGCACTTAGGAGGCAGAGGTATTCAGATCTCTATGAGTTCAAGGTTAACCTTCATAGTGAATTCCAGATCAGTCATGACTACACAGTGGGACCCTGCCGAAGGAAGGAAGGAAGGGGAGGGGAGGGAAGGTAAGAGAGGGAGGGGGGAGAGGAAGGGAAGGGGAATGGGGAGAGGAAGGGAAGGGAAGGAAGGAAGGAAGAAAAGGAAGGAAAGAAGTCAACATTGTTGATAGTCAAGTTTCTCTGCTCTGGTGTTACAGGGTATTTCTCTTAGTGTGTATAAGCATAAGATGTGGGCTTATGCTTGAGCAAATTCCAGTCATAGTCACCGTTCAAAGAACAATTCCAGGAGATAAGTCTTCTGTAGAGTGAGAAGGCAAGAAACGAGGGAGTTGACTGAAGATAAACCTTAATCGCAGAAGGCGGCACCGCTGAAACAGCCAAAGCAGTAGACGAGGTGCCACAGTTCTCTTTCTTTATTAGGTCTCCTCCTCCTGTGCCGCAGAAACTGCCATTGCCAACGCAATCCTTGTGCCATGTTGTTTGTGGCAGTCTGGCCATTTTGGTAGCAACTTTCAAACTTTTCTCAGCTGTTGAGGTTGGAGTATTTGAGCTCAGAAAAGGTCCCACATTCAGAACTGAAGAAAAGAACGAAGCCGGAGGAGCCGTGTGGTTTTAAGTAACTGGGAACAAGTGAAGAAAGTCCTTCAATTCCCCACTATCCAGCACAATGGAGCAATGAAATGTGAATTCCTTCAGCTGGCTTGGGAGCCTTTGTGCAGGGGAGATGTGGTCGGTGCTGAGTTCAAGCCCCTGTGATGAGCTGAGAAGCTAAGTGCAAGAATGTGAAGCAGAGTCTTTTATCTAAGGGCTTTAGAGCCTTGAGAAGTCTATCATATTAAGCACACTAAACTCATTATGTACATTAGCCTTGATCCACATTAGATTACTTTCAGCATTTGAACTTATTTGGGAATTCTTACAAAGGTGTAAGAGATAGCCTATCATTTTTAACTTAAGAAAAATTATATAAATATTAAATTTGGCAATCATTGAAGTTACATCCTGTGAGCATGTAGTTGATCATATCTTGTTTTCTATTTCATGGTTTTAATATGGTAGCATGACATTTTCTCAGCCTTTAGTGTTTTCTGAACTCATTGCGAAGCCTGCACGCTGCGCCTGTGTGCCAGGAGAGCAGGCAGCTGTGATAAGGGGCGAGGTCTTCCCTCTAGCAACAGGACGACATGCTGCACTGCAGAGCCTAGTGCTGAAATCCCAGTCAGCAGCATGCAGAAGCAGAATCTGTTGGGATGCTTCTCTGAGTAAAGATTCTCTAGGGCAGTGCTTCTCAATCTGAGGGTCACGACTCCTTTGGGAGTTGCCTATCACATGTTTACATTACGATTTGTAACGATAGCAAAATTACAGTCATGAAGTAGCAACAGAATAATGTTATGGTTGGTGGGAGTCAGCACAACACAAAGGAGGCTGGGAACTACTGCCCTAGAGCCCAGCTCTTTGAAGGATGTTTTGCGGATAAGATTGCCATCAGCTGAAGCTCATTGGAGATACAGACTTCCAAGAACTACTCCAGCTGCCTGACTCATCGTCTGAATGTTATCTAGGTTACCAGGTTCCCACTCAAGAAGCAGGGGCTGGTCTCAAAAGGTGGCTCTCCCCTCCAGTTGTGCCAGACATACTTTGGGAGCTCTGCAAAGCACAGTTCAGTCTCCAGAGGGCAGACCCAGCTGTCCGTGGTTTTAAAACGCCAATGTTTTTAGTACCAAGACCTCAGAGGTTCTGTGTGATTTATCAGTGCGAGCAGCTCAAGCCGCCAGGAGTATTACCTGTGTTTACGACCTAACATGAATTCTTCTAGGGAAGTGCTTTTCTCAACTGGAATTTTGAGTTAGTCGTCCTCTTTCCAGAACCTTAGGCCCAGTTGTCATAATAACAAATGTACTAAATGTCATTAACAGTGGAGGTTCCTTCTTCCAAGTAGTAATCCAAGCTGGACTCATCGGGAGAAGTTGGTATTCTATGTAAAGTGCAGGTATAGTGGGACCATGTATTTCTCCATGAAGCACAAAGTTTGTGTTTATTTATTAAAAATGCAAAACTTCGGGCAGGGAGATGACGGGGTGAATCACAGTTCTTCCTATACTAGCATGAGGACCTGAGGTCAGATCTCTAGACTTCCAAGGAAGATGGAGATGGACATACGGTCCTGTGACCCCAGTGCTGGGTGTGCGGAAGACAGAGACAAAAGAGTCGCCGGAACTTGCTGGCCAGCAGCCTAGCTAAAACTCAGCAGTGTCCAGGTTCAGTGACAGAGCTTACCTCAAGGGAATGAGGATGAGAGCGATGGATAAAAACGGTCGCCGTCCTACTGTGCCCCTTCGCGTGCTCAGATGGATGTGCGCACACACACACAGTACACATTTTATGTTTTAGAATTCATTTGTTTGCCTGATTTACGGATGGACTGATGGAACCTAGGCCCTTCTGAGAGCTGAGCACACATGCTGCCGCAGAGGCGCAGCGCTGGCCCTCCAGAACTTCCCTAGTTAACCCTGGCATCCCGGGGGTCTGAGGGACGGCCAGAGAGCCGCTTCTTGCCTGGTTGAATTTCATCTTCTGATAATCAGATTTACATTCCTGGAGGAAAATCCCTTTGGAAACCTCAATTATTTCTTCAGTTATCATTGTTTTTGGGAGGATCTGTGCAAACAGCCGCTCCGTACCATCACCCAGAGTCATTCCTCTCTCTAGTGTGAAACTGGCTCCTGATACGTGCCACAGGGAGCTGGGGAAATCTCAGCAATTCTCGGTCTTACAGGTTTTTCTTACACTTAACTCTTTTGAAAAGTGCCACAGCTTGTTAAAAACTGTATGTACATGTGTGTAAACAGGCCCCCTCAGGTACTCATGAAACGGTCGTTCAGTTTGCTGCTCTTTACCTTGAATGTCCACATTCGTCCATCGAACCTTTGGCCTTGTTAATGTTTTCCTGCATGGCAAGAAAGCTTCGTAGTGAGTTTTCCAGCAGGTGAAGACACTAGCGAACCATTGTAGCCTTCGGGGAATATAAATATTGCTCTGATTATAAGTGTTCTCTGTGTTTTTCCAGTAGCATAACCAAGGCGTAAAGTTGGGGTGTCTTATGTTACTCTGCCTTGTATCTCTGCAGTTCTGACTGGCTGGGGCCGGTCCACAACCTAATGCAGCATTACACACTAACCTAAGAAATGGCCAAACAGTTGCAGAAACCACTATTTGTGCACTGATGTCTGCTCTGTAGGAGCTAAAGTGGAGGCTTCTCTCAACATTAAATCAACCAGTTGCATATTCAAATTTGAATATGCAGGCTTCTGGCTATCAAAAAGATTTTGAACAAATTACAGAACTTTGTTCAGAGCTGGGCAAGAATATTCATCAAATCCTTCTTTCTTAATCTCCCAAGCAAGATAACAATAGCTGTATTTATGGGTGGCACACCGAGCTGAGAACATGGGCTGTCCCTGTGTTCTTCTGCCCTAGGAAGGTGCCTCATTCTTTGAGTGGCTGTTAAACAGCGGTGACAGACAGTTACAAATGTCTCTTTAGTACCAGGCTGTGCCCTCTAATACCTGACATGTGGAAGAGTTTCTTGTCTACTAACTGATTTTCACTAATGTGAAATTTCAGCTCACAATGTGTGTGGTTTTGTTTTGTTTTTTTTTTTTTTTTTTAATCACCAGTGTTATCATTACAACGGTTCTGTACCTCTCTGATGCGCTCCGCAAGAACTTCTTAAATGAAAACTTTGACTATAAGGTCAGTATCTGATCCATGACTGCCTTGGGCCAAACGATCTGTGCTGTATTTTAGAAAGGTACCTCTCTTGGGCTCCTAAGAATATTAGTTTCAACTGAGCATAATGGCATATTTGCAGACAAATTAGAGATGTTACAATGCTTATGAGCCTGATGGAAAGGACTGTGCTCAAAGGAAGATTGGCCATACTTGTTATTATAAATTTTAATTATTGTACTTTTTTGTGTGGTTCTGGTTAAAACATAAAGAATTTTTTAACATTTTACATTAGTTTATTTACTTTACATTCTGAGAGTGCCCCCTCCCTCCTCTCCTTCCAGTCCCCCCACTTCCCCTCCTTCCCCCTTCCTGTCTCCCTTTTCCCCCAGAAAAGAGGAACCCCTCCCCCCATATTAGCCTTCCCCTGCACATCAAGTCATGTCAGGACTGAGCATATCCCCGAGGCCAGGCAAGGCAACCCTGCTAGGGGGGAGTGATCCAAAAGCAGGAAAGAGAGTCCATGTTAGAAACAGCCCCCCAACTTGCCAGGAAATCCATATGAAGACCAAGCTGCCCATTGGCTATATGTGTGTAGGGGACCTAGGTCCAGACCGTGCATGCTCCTTAGTTGATGTCTCAGTCTCTGAGAGCCCCCATGGGACTGAGTTAGCTGTCTCTGTTGATCTTCTTATGAGGTTCCTGTCCCCTCCAGGTCCTTCCATCTTTCCCCCAACACTTCCACAGGACCCCCCAGAGCTCTGCCCCATGCTTGGCTCAAGTCCCAGCATCTGTATTGATCTGCTGTTGGCTGGAGCCTCCCAGACAACAGTCAGGTTAGGTTCCTGTCTGCAAGCAGAGTAGAGTATCAATATTAGAGACCCACCCCGCGGTGGAGAACATAGAGACTTTAATACGTGTTTTTAAGTCATTTTAGAGTCTTATTTTAGAGTTTTAGATTTTTGCTTTGTAAAGTTTTTAAAGAAAAAAATTACAAAATGGACACTTCCCTAGCTTAGAATTTTTGGAATAAATTAATGAAAACTATGAAACCTTAGTATGATTCTTTCAGGCAGGGTTCTCAAGTCCTCAGTAATGTGACTGGCTACATCCATGCATGACCACCTAGTCTAGATGACATCCCTCTCCTCTTTTTTTTTAATCAAATAGCAAACGACAGTGTGTAGACTGTGTGTGCCTGCTGTGGCTTCCTTTCTCAATGCTGGTTGAAAAGGAATTTTGGTATCTTTGTTTCCTAAATAACATGTTGAACATAAAATATTTAGTACGTTCCCATTATTTGAAAACTAGAAAGTACAGAAAGCACAAAATAAAGATTTTAAGTATTCTTGCCTGGTATTCATGAGCTAGCCCTGGGTTTGATCAAACAAAACCCAAAACATCTAAAGAACAGTAGACACTGACTATGAAAGTTCCATCTATACGTCTGCAGCCCAGGGTAATGTCACCATAGTTTGGCAAGCACATTCATCTGCCTGTTGTCATTTGCTATTTCAAAACAAAACAAAACAAAAACCAGAAAAACAAACAATAGGAATCCCCTCTGCTTTTGGGTATTTATTTTCCTCCTCTACTTTTTCCTCATAAATTGGCCTTTAAATGTACATTCTTGCAAAATTAAACTTGCCATGTGCCTATAATTCTGTGAATAAATATTATTAGTGGAGAGGGCTGGAGAGATTATAACAGTTAAGAGTGCTCGCTACCTAGTCAAGCTCAATCTCCACTACTCGTGTTGGGTGGCCTTTAACTCCATTGCCAGAAGAATCCAACACCCCTTACAAGCCATTTTGTTGGAGGCTTTTATCGCATCCCTGTTTTATTTCTGAGAGTTCTTACACATTACAGACAACTCTTGTTCTATTTCATTTGACATGACATCACTGGAAACAGTTTTATTCCATATGTCCAACATGCTTTTTGCTGTTTATTTCTGGAATTTTTTTTCTGATTCTCTTATTTGGCATTAAAAAAAGTTTATGACTCATAAAATTTGTCTGGATAGGGAATTTTAAACCACAATGTGAATTTAAAGCAATTAGCATTTCCAGAGTTAGAAGAATTTTTTTAAAGTTCTGCATCAAAAGAAGCTTGAAAAATGAATCCACACAGGAATGAAGCAACTGGGGTGGCATGGAGATACCCAGAATGTTGTCAGCAAAGCAAAGCATGGATCCTTTAGCTTCATCAGAGAGCCCATGCCTCTGTGGTTCATATTTTAAGCAATATGTAAAGAGGGAACAGTTCTTGAATTTTCTTACTTCGTTGCAGAAAATTTCAAGTGTGTATCTTATAGCAGTAGCAACTGTGGCATAATGACTCCACACATACACACCCATGCACTCATAGCTAGCTGGGACTGGTACCTAGTCTGCTCTAGCTTCACACTCATCTCCTCACTGCTGCTGAAGCAAATGCCAGCTCTTGCAAGAACTCACACGTGAAGTTTCTCTAGCACAATAGTATTTAAATATCTTGTTCTTGTTTTAGATCTGGGATTCCTACTTTTACCTTGCTGTCATTTTTATCAACCAGTTGTGTCTGCAGCTGGAGATGTTCACACCTTCCAAAAAGAAGAAGGTGCTGGAAAAGTAAGTACCAATGGGGAAGTGTGGCCTTAAAGATGTTTAGTTCCAAACATTCACAACCCAGAATCCCCACAGCTGGAAATAGTGATGCAATCGTTAGCGAAGGGTTTTCGGGAAAATGTCAGTATTCTTGAACTTATTAATATTATTTCTTGAGTGGTTTCAAGTTTCATAGTTATTACAGAAACTGAAAGTTATGACTTTATCTGGATGCTTTATTTAGGGTCACCAAGACTTGCTCACTAGATATCTGTAAATCAAATGCTTTGCCTGCAATTCAGAGTGATACATTATATACTAGTGACATAGAAGTACTTTGTTCAGGAAATTACAACAGTTTTGATTCTTTTTTTTTTTTTTTTTTTTTTTCTATTTCAGGTATGGTGATATGCGGGTCACCATGGGTTGTGAAATATTTAGCATGTGGCAAAACCTAGGTAAGTGGTGAAAAGTGAGTGAATGGGACAGCTCATCTCCTGACCTTTACCTGTACATCAAGGGGGGGGACGGGGCAGGGTATCACTGACCGCATCTGAAAGCAGGAAATCAGTCAAGAGATTTTCAGTACTCACAGATAAAATTCTCCATCACATACAAAAACTTCCCCTAGAAACTCACATTGTGGCACTGAAGAAGGTTAATTTGTTACATTGGTGTTTATTTGAAAAACACCACAATACCTTTGTATCTTCCTTACTAAGGAAAGTTTTTGAGACTTAGTATCCTTTGAACATTCTGTAGCAATGAACTAACCTTTCAGAATTGGGAACTACACCAGCACAAAATTTGCAGAACTCTGAAAGGAAGCTATGGATCATCATAAATTAGGATTAAACTCTGTGAAAGAGTGACTTAAACATCACCATTCTAAAACACCTTCCAGGCCACTGGCCTACATCATAAAGATTATCAAGAAAGACCTTTGAAAGCATTTGCAGTTGCTAAGAGACTCCTAGATCCAATTGTGTAATTTGCCACATCGTAGAAGCACATGATCCCAGCAAATTGATGGCACAGATCTGCCTGCACAGAAAGAATGGTATTTGGAAAATAAACTGTTCTCATTTTATTGGCATAGAATCTCTTTGTAGAGATTGATGACATTTAATTTGGCATATTAATTTTGTACACTTTATATCATTAATTGTTACTGCATTTGCATCTTTTTTAATTTATTCATGTGATTGGCATGTGACTTTGAAAGGTCCTGAGAGGTCCTTCTTTTGGGGGCTCATTGAGGTACAACTTGGAAACAGCAGGATTTGTTTTCTTGTTACAGAATGATTTTTGTCCAGAACTCCTCTGAGCCTCAAGTACGCACAGCAATGTGGGGAGCTTTGTAACTCATAAATACTTTCTAGTGATCTCAGAAAAATGAAATGAGTTTGCATCTGAAAAATAAGATCCAATGGCGAAAGGCCAGCTAGAGTAAACCACGATCTGTCTCTAGATTCGCTAAAACACAGCATGAAATGTCTCGGCTGGAAAGTGGTCTCCTCAGTGTCTGCCCCTGTCTGGCTCTGTCTCGTCTCTAGAGCCTCTCTGATGAGTCTTGTGGTCCCCTGGTTGCACGTGGCATTAACTTAGTGTTTCCTAGTGAGTATTGGCATGCTTTCCCAAGCAGCATAGTTGGTGAGGTTCTTTGGAGAGCCTATTTGGAAATCACACCAGGCATGGTTGGGTTACTAGAGTAGTGGACACCATAGTTTTCTCTGAGCATTACTGTGTATGGTTGGACATGACTTCACCCGGGTCAGGATAGCCATGCATTTATGTTCCAGTGTCTTAGTCTACTTAAAAAAGCAGGCATGTTTCATAAACTGTCCTGTTTAATTATGAATTAGCAAAAGTAGTTATACCTCTCCTAGGTGGATGTTAAATTACTTCTCTATTTTCTTCAGAAATCTGGAAAATTTAGGAAATTTTGGCAGTGTGCATATCCCATCCCATAGTGGCATCCACTAGAACTGTTGGATTAAAGGTAGAATTCAAGGCTGTGTCTGCCTCACCTGGAGCCTTTGAAAATGCAAATTCGACCCTGAAGCAGAATCTCTGGGACAGAGGATAGCAAGCTAGTTTTCCACATGCTCCTTAAGTACTTGGCCAAAGACAGGAAACCCCTGTGTTGAGCTCTGTCCCCCGCCTTTGCTGTCTAGTGCTGAAGACTATCTCCAACATAGCCTAGCTCTGTCAGGAAACTTTCGTTATTCTCAAGGTACAAATCCCCATCTCGGTGGATACAGCTCAAGTATAGAATCCAAAGCCTCTCGTCATTCATTCCTTTCTACATCACTTTTCCTACAAGGAAGTCTTGACCTCTTCCCAAAACACTGTATGAATTTTAAAGGCTTTTCTGTTCTGCTGTGAGGAAGAAGAGGATTTGATCTCAAGGACTCCTATAACTCCATGATCAGGCTGCTTAAATAGAAACCTAATACTGCAAGTCCAGCCATTACAATCCCAGTTCTACCTGTGGGCAGTCGTTCCCTTTGGAACAGCTTAGATGGCATGTCTAGCTATTGCCTGGCAGGAGCAATGAAAAGGAGAAGGGACTTGTTTTAGTGCTCACGTCAGAGGTAGCACTAGTTTCAGCACTAATCATGGTGGAAACATATGGTAAAGAAAACCTACTCATGGGAGCCAAGAAGCAGAAAGGAGGGTATGCCGAGGTTGATGGGCCACCTTCTTCCCCGGCCCCTTTGTGGAATTACAGTGAGGATTTGTACATTGAGAATAACAAAAGTTTCCTAACAGAGCTAGACTGGGCTAGAGATAGTCTTTAGGACTTGGGCATCAAAGGCGGAAACCAGAGCTTCTTACCACAGGGGTGTCCTGGGTCTAGGGGATGACACCGCCCACTCCCACAACAGCCTTCCCCTGTTAGTTAAGTCATGCTGGAAAGAGACGTTCCCAGAAGTGTGCTTTACCAGTCTCGTCTTAGGCATCTCTCAGTCGGATCGAGTTAAGAATAAAGATTATACACCACAATTTTATTTTTATTTTGGTTCTGGTTTCTTTGGGTTTAAGAAAGTCTCACTCTGTAACCCAGGCTGGGCTGGATTCACACTTGTCCTGCCTCAGCCTCCTGAGGGTTGAGAGTATAGGTCTGTACCACCATGTCCTGCTTCCTAGTCTTACTTTCTACCACAACTATTAGGCAAGTAGACATTCAGTTGCATGTTTTCAAAATATCCACCGCATGTGCGGCCATATCACTCTGTGGGTTTGGTAACTTAGTTTTGAAGAGTGAGGACCAAATGGTGATTAGTGAACACCTTTTTTTAAATGTGTTATTCCTTGATAATTTTATTTACTGAGTTAAGGGAATAAAATATTCTATCAGTAGAAGAGGAAACTTACATATCACCCCCCAAATTTTGTTCACTCATTTGTGTTCTTGGGAGACTGGGGGTGTCTAGGGAGGCTGGTCCTTGCCAGCTTGCTGCACAAGGCCCTCATTTTGCTGCAAAGTTAAGTCTTCACTTTGCATTTTTAGATGAGCACACATTCTTACTAAACATAAAGCATGCTCTTTGTTCTGAATTTGCAAACACGGCATCTTGGAACCACTGTAGAAAAATCAATACTTCCCCAGCAGCCGCTCCCTGTTCAGAAGCATAAAACTCCAACAGCCCAATAGCAGGCTCCCCAGAGACTTCAAAAGAAGACCATGTGGCTGACAGCTGGAAGTGGGGACATTCTCGAACCCTCCAGCTTAGAAGAGTCATTTAAAGGAAGTTCAGTTGCTGCTGGTACACATAGCTCCAGACTTTGCTGGTTCGGTGGGGATTGAATTTTTCGGTGTTTGGGGGCCCATCTGGTTTGCACACGCTCTGCACTTCCAAAGTGTGTTTTCAGCTACAAGGTCACTCTGAAGCCCTCCTGCCTGATGAAAACCCAAGTGTGCTGTCTGACTTCTCTACTGTCTGAAGAAGAAGCAGCTGTGGAGCATAGTGGGTGGGCCTTGTTTGAATTGTAGCCAAAATGAAAGCTCTAAATTGCATGTTTCAGGACCATCGGGAAATTCGGATAGTGGTTGTATTCTTAATTTAATAAGTTAATGTGTGAGTGTGTACCATGATAAAGGCATTGTGTCTGTACATTCGTGAAATATCGTGTCTTTTAAAGATGCTTTCTGACTGGCGCTGGAGTAGAATATGTCTCGGGCTGGCTTTAGAATTCCCTAGAGAAAAAAAAAGTTGTTCAGGATGTTAGTAACACAAATTAGTGAAAACTCCAGCTATGATGGAGGCTGGACAAGGTTCATGTAAGATTTATTTTACTTTTCTCTATATTGTGAGTACATGGGAATTTTTTTAAAAAAAAAAAAAAAGAAGAAAATTAGGTTACTAAATATCCACAAATGGTAGAGACATTTTTAAAGGAGACTAAAAAAATGTCTAAGCAAATAGTGATAGATAAATAAGTGTGCACTAGGGATGATCTCTGCTGTAAAGGTCAATGAATACCAGGCTCAGGGAAGATCAAAACAAAGTTGGGAGAATGTACAAGGTGAAAATAATTAAACACCTATTTAATATCTGAACTGCCTAAATGAGAGACATAAAGTCAAGAAAACTATATAAGCAGGCACATATTTAAAAATATTGTTTTAGGCCAGGATTGTGGCTCAGTTGACACAATATTTGCTTAGCATGTGTAGGGTCCTGGATTTAATTCCTAGCAACACAGTAAAACAAATTAACAAGTAAGTACATTGTTTTAAAATTGAAGAAAAAAACCAAAGTTGTCACCATGGTGTTTCTCAGTGTTCTACTAACTCACCCTGAGAGGAGTATCTGGGCAGGCTGATGTGAGGTTATAACACCCTCTCTGGGTCACTCCCTCCCCCACATACTCTGAAGCTGTGCACAGGACTGGAATCTACATAGTATGGAAGTAGCCCAGGGCCTGACAGACTCTACTGTGGCATTTGTGTAATGGATTTGAGTGGCTGGACCTTGTGCCCTTGTGTCCTGGGTCAAGGTCTTGGCCAGGCACCACGCCTGAAACCTCAGGGTTCTCCAGCCTCTCTGGCCATGTGTACATTGGGTCTCCTTTGTTTTCTCTCTTACCAAGACAGCTTGAGTAAACAATGAATTTAGACTTTGACAAATGGCATTAAGGGTGCTTGCTTCTGTTTTCTGCCTTGACAAAAATAACTGAGAAAAGGAACTACAAATTCTAGCTGCCAGCTACCTGTCTGAAATGAGGGTGACAGAAGGGTAAAGCAGACAAAGGAATAACAATGCAGGCATTTCCATCTTAAAGGATCCCTGTTTAGAGGAAAATATACAAATTTACATTAATGAGGAAGTTTCTCTTGATATATTCTTGCTGTGTTAAAGGAAAAAAAAAACAGTCTTTTTGGGAAAGGCAAAGGATTAATCTGGGTCAGAAATATAGCGAGGAATACGGAAGAAAAAGTTACAAGTTC